TTTCAAAAATGTTGAAGATGAGGATATTATTAGTCTCTTAGAGAGTAAAGACAGTCAAAATACGAAGAAAAATCTAAAACTTTGTACAAAGCTTTTAGTGGACTTCGCCCAGGAGAGTAATTTGACTCCATTGAGTGAACTTACTGCCGTATGAACGTCTCGAGGGTCTGGATCCAACTTCAAGTCAACTTCAAGGGTATTCAAGATATTCTTCGGACTAACAAAACAATTATAGACCTCTCCATTCGGTTTACTGTCAAAATTATATCCCTCGACTGTAAACCTCGACCTACGGTCTCGGTTTACAGTCTCGGGATATAATTTTGACAGTAAACCTCTGGAGAGGTCAATAATTGTATATAGTAGTGTAAAACATACATGATGCTGTATGATTCTGATAGACTGTTTAAGATGTCCTTCTGGTTTCAATACACATGGAGCATAACAAAATCACTTTCAAACGTCATTATCAAATATTACATTGAACCTGGGAATTTGCATCCACACACAGATTGACTGTTAACCTCACTCTCCCGTGACGCAATTTATAAAATAAGCAATTTTGTAATCGATTGGCTGCATTCCTTTTGAAAGAATTATGGAAACTCACAAATCATAGATAAAAACGTAGAAAGGCCTTCTCACATATGAACGAAAACCCCAGGGTCAACTTGCGTGTACTGGCGAATAGGCTCAAGAGTAAAATTCGTTCCTATTAGCATATATACATTGTGCATCGCTGGGGATTTCGTATGCAGAAGTACCTTTTCGGAAAACTTCGGACGGCTTCGGAATCATGCGCAAAGTTACGCTTCGGTTCGCATGTTTACGTTCCCAATCACCAGAATTGACAATTTATCAAATTCGCATGGCTGCATTTAGTGGATTCGTTCCATGATGAAATGAAAGGGTGGCGTTTTTGACCCACCCTGTATATATCAAATCAATGTGTTCTTGTTTCATTCTAGGATTTCGGCCAAGCCACGGTGCCATTTATTTAATTTACGAAGAAATGTCTTTTCCAGTTTCCACCAGATACGAAGTGATTTAAAAATCATTTCTATAATCAACTAATAATGTGTAGTTACGTGCCAAGTGAGAGATAAAAATAAGTAATTGTAATGTCAAAGATATACATCTGTGATAACTCGTTGAGCATGGCACTTATCTAGCCGATTGGTTATACTACTCACAGCTTCCATGTTATCGCAAAAAATGATACCTGATAAAGATACAAAAAATTGTTATGTATTTTCATATCTGATGATGGAACTGTCGAAGGTGGAGAAAAATTACTGTCAGTACTTCACTGTCAGTAATACATTTTTTTATGCCAACTGCCAACTTGAAATTATGAAATTGATGAGGGTAATCAATTTCATCGAATTTAAAATAACCATATTTGGTTGTAATTTAATATGCAGATTATTTGAAATACTGTGTTCTGATTGGCTGGAAATTGTTGATATTGTTTAATCGAACAAGCTTGGGAAATACTATCGAGAGGAAGGCAGCCCTAATCCTACGTGAATAAGGATGAGTGTATCTAACCCCCCTATCACACCAAACTAGTTCTTACCCGTTCTTGCCAGTCCTACGAAAACGTCGTAAAACGGGCTCAATCTGGCTGTGGTCGGGAAATATGTCTGAAATAATTAGCTTCTTCGTTCTTAAACAGTCTTCAATACGTCCATCGCGTTCGCAGTTCGTTCAGGTCGCACCACGTCGGTGTTCAACCTCGTAGAACGCGTCCCTTAGTCTAGAAGGTCAACATGACCTGATAACAGAACGGTATGGTCGCCATCGAATTTTGAATCGATTCAAAATTCTAAAATCACATTCCCGTCTGAGAACGTTCATAAAGTTCGTAAATAGACCTTAGAAAGTTGCAGCTACGTTCATTCCGTTCGCACACAGTTTAAAACCAGTTTTGAAGAACGCAGTGGCAACTTGTTTGGTGTGATAGCTATATTTTTGCTAACTCGTTCATAAGCAGTGTTAAATACGTTCTTAATCAGTTTAAACCCGTTTGCAATTAGTTCTACCTCGTTCTCAACACGTCCTCTGACAGTTCAACTCGTTGTAAAAACGTCCCTAGTAGGATTGAAATACGACGGTTCCGTTCGTAGTGCGTCCAGCTCGTCGTTAGTACGTTGTCACTCGTTCTAATTGTAGAACGTGACGACCACGAGAACATTTTGAGCATTGTCTAAGTTCTAGAGGACCTATCCGTTCGAGTACGTTCGATGAAGTTTGTAAATAGATCCCAAACGGTTCTTGGTAGGTCCAGTCCGTTCGTACACAGTTGAAGCCCGTTTTCGAGAACGTAGTGAGAACTAGTTTGGTGTGATAGTAGGGTAAGATTTACGAGTTATCATTTTTACATGCATGATCTGAGAACCAATTTTTTACAAAACAGAATTCGTTATCAAGATAGATGGATTACAACCCTTGAGTTGCAATTTTTATCTGGTTAGTTTTATGTTTATCGGCTGCAAATTCTACATTCAAACAAAGCTTAAGAATACTGAATATAGGTCTACATTCAATGTTAAACTGAAATAAATGAAAAACGTGTTCATATTACAAGATCTAGAATAGCTCCAATTACCACTCGAATTCACCAGAGAATAGGCCAGATTCGGAGTACGTTTCCCTACGTTGGTTATCAAAAGTCTGTGGAAGCCCAACTGTTCTGGGTTACCCAAGTATTCTGACTCTTGCCCAACTGTTCCAACAAACCAAGTGGTCTGAGTTAACTTATTATCAGATCTGAAAATTCACAAGAGAGGGTACCATTGAAAATAATTTTGCTGGAAAAAATGTTGTCGCTAAAATTGGCTCTTTTTTGATTTCTAAAAATACGTATGGACCCATTTTTCAAAATCGATGCACATTTTTTCCAAAAACTGAGGCATCTTGCGATTGAGACCAAGCCTGGGTATATTGATATATTCTATCTAAATATTCTATTTCTCGGGAATGGTGCAAAAGTCGAATTCCCGAGGATCTGCCGGACACTCTTCAACCGGTACACCGTTAGTTAAAAAATTTATAAAGAAATAGCTAAGTAGTTTCATATATATACTTAATTTCGACAGTCATCTGTGGAAGAAACATAAAATTGGGTTGAGAATTGAAAATCACCTTATCGAGTGTATTTGACACACTCGATAAGGGGACATGGGGGTTTCACCCCTCGATATCTTTTAAAATTTACAATTGCATATGGTGCATTCTGAGCATTTCAATCTATTTTTTTCTTCAAATTTTACAAAAATTTATTTATTTGTTGGGCGCAACCCCTGGTTACGCCCAATTGATAAATACATACTTGAGTACCGGGCAGCAAAAACAACAAAAAGTTCTAAAAAGCGAAGTCCAATGTCATAATGTGTTATTCTATTGAAATTGGATTTTAGCAATACTCTCCCATATCAATCTACTTCTTGAGCCTCGATCAATTTGAGTTCTTCTGACAAAATGAGGATTTCAGCAAGGGTTCCATTGACTTAACATAGGGATGCCGTTAACCTCATCCTGCATCATCTACAACTTATATCACTACAGCATATCTTTCAGTGATTTTGTACCTTTTGGATGATTTTGTACAAAATATTTTGCAATGTGTGAAAATAAGTTAAGCCCAAGACTCAATGTCCTTACTCACTGTGATGTATAATGTATAATGACCATTCCTTTCAGGCGGCGGTTTTTTCTAAAAATTAACACTCGATGCTTATTTCGTGAAAATTTTAGAAAGCAAAACATTCAAGGAATAGTCATTCCACATTGCACTGAGTCCAGGACTTAAATCCTTAATTACTGAATTTCATAAAGCAGCTGTCAGATGGTGGTATGCAACTGTAATTGTAAAACGATCTATAAGTCTCAGTCTATTTAAAGTCTCATATGCACGAGACGTCAGAGAATTATTTAAATTCCGGCGACTGCCATTCCTCCAACAAAAAAACCCCACAGCTTCCAGTTCATAGAGATTTGTGAACCCTATGGGAATTTGAAACAACTTACCAAGATCACCAAACAACTAAATCGATGAACCATTGTTACAAACATAGACTCTGGGGTACCTTACAAAATTATTAGTCTACTTCCATCCTTTCTTCTAATTAAAACAGGGAATGCCTCGACTAGCTCCAACCTTGATTTGTCATTTCTATTCTCTTTTATAGTATCATGGGGTTCTCTCGGAAGCCCATGATATTACCAACTTAATTCAAATCTATAATGTAAAAACTATCCATTTGTACTCTGTACATGTAATCAAATTCTTATTTACAAACATACATACAGTTGTGGTTTAGTTCTCTTAGTTAAACTCGGAAAAATGCACTATGTGTTCATCAGTATCCATGATGGCTCATATGAAAAAAGAAGTGGAATAAACGGTTAAGTCAGTTTAGTCACATTCATTGTCTATCATCTTTAAACTCATGAAAGATTACATTCCACGTTCCTTCACATTTTCCCGCGCAAAGATACTGGCTCGTCTCTCCTGGTGGCGAAAACCTCCCGGGGAACACCTCTTTGAATCATCTGTGGGTTCTTGCGGAGAGCAGAAACCCCATTAGTGATTCTCCTTCGACAATGGTTCAAACTTGGTCCAGAACAGACTTTGGACCATATGCAAAAGGAAGGCTTATTCAATGGTCCGTGGTCACAAATGAATAAAAAATGACATATCATTGCAAAGAGGAGAAACGTGGCTTCACGATAAACTTCGGGAAATTGATGAAGTCATCACTGGTTTTATGGTATTACAATGTTTTTGTTTGTTGCGTTTTAAGAGCACTGTACATACATGACACATGAGTTCAAATTACTGTCCCGATTACCGATTCAGTACACTGGTGATCCACTCCTACGCTGCAACCGTTTTGGTAACAAAATGTCGGAACATAATAAGGAAATAAGGAAAAAATGAAAATCGTACCTTCGACGTTCCGACATTTTGTTACCAAAACGGTTCGTAACCAGCGTAATCGAGCTTTGGATCACCAGTGCAGTAAGCATACGACTCGCAAATATAAAATATAAACTAGCTTTCGGGTAAAAGTCAGGTTCAATCATGAGATTTTCATACCTTGGTAATCCAAGCTAGTAGTCAATGACAGAAAAATCTCTTGTTGCTAACACCTCATAATTACCCGACGAAGATTTCCACTCCACAACCCCCCATTCGTCCTTGATGTACCCAAGGTCTTTATTTACTAAGTACTTCCTGGTCACTTCGTGTGGAAGATTCTTTCCCAAATCAATGTCATCACAAAATTGCACAAGTTCATTTAATTCGGTAGCAGGGAGGTTAGGATCAATATGTGCACACGACAAGGTTGTGTTTTCCAAACCATCACGTTCTTCTACAAACGTCTTCAACTTGTGAACACTTGAACGCCAAACTTGAAAATCCGTGCCTCTTAGAAACAACAATATAGCAGCATTTCTATAGATGAGGTCACCGACAAATATACGTTTTCCACACGGCATGTACAAACCAATAGAATCAGGTGTATGACCAGGAAGATTCACAACGTGTAGAGCTTCATGTGGATTTGGTTCAGCATCATTTAAATACACCATATCACCTTCAGCCAGCCATTTTGTAATCTTAAACGGTTTTGGCACGGCATTCATGAGGTATCCCAGGGAAGGGTCCAACACTGCATCTTGATGACCCAGGCTGAAATCTTTATCAGCTGATCCCATGCAAAGATCATTGACATCACTAACAGGGCCCTCTGGCGGGGAAAATCGAAAGTTGCTGGATATATGATCGCAGTGAGCATGAGTGTTTATTATCGTGTAGGGGAGATCGGAGAGCTCAGGTTGGGATCTGAAATTGCATACATTAATTATTAATTAATATCATGGATCTGGAGTAGTTGAAAACAACTTTTTGTCCTACAGGTCAATCTCTATGTGCGGTACTGAATATTGATTGATTTAACAGTAAATGCAAGAACATGGTAAACAGACTGGTACACAACAAAGTAGAGATTATAGAAATCTTATTTACAAAGAATTAAGAGATTTGGAAGGAATACTATTTTTAGTAGTATGATTCTTTTGTCTGCTTTGTTGTGAGTACTCCAGGCTTTCCGTTGATTTATTTAACATTTTCACATCTACCTTAAGAATGCTTTATAATCGCCAGTAGCCAGGCCTGTATCTACAAGAATGGTCTTATCATGTCCTTTGATGGCATACAATATTGGACGTTCGCCTAATACATCTATCTCGTCTATTTTCCAGGTACGTTCACCAATCTGAGCAACGTTCCTATAAGGTTCGTCTTCATCGATTGTCTTGGTGGCGAAACGTCGATTTAAGTTTGACTTGGGCCTAGTTCCAGCCAAGTTGGTTTGACACAACAATGGGCTTCTTTTAGCAAATGCTAAATACAGCTGAAACAGTGCAATTTAAAATTAACATGATTACATTATAAACCCAACATAAGTGAAATGCTGCTATGACACTCAATGACCATTCCGATATTCACCACGAGGAGTAAGTCGCTGACATACCGCCTTCGTGGCCTGTATGCTAAAGGGGTGGGGTTGGTATGTGACTTATTCCCCGAGCTGAGAACAAACATGTTTATAACACTTCAAAAATACTATACCTTGTGATTACTAGCCGATATTCGATGTCCTTTGGAAGTGGCGACATGCAATCCTCGAGTGCTGCCCCGGGTGCTGCCTATATTTCTCAAAACTGATTTCCACATCGATATATTCATGTTAAAAACTTGTCAAAGTGACAAATCAAATGTTCACTAAGCAACGCAAAACTCCAGTCTTTAGCAAGCAAAAGCCTGAATTAATCGCTTCAATCGACCTACATGTATTAGGCCAATTTCTCAATTATTTTTCAATGGCTGTACGTATAGACGTTTAATCTTTGACCCTAGGTAACCTGTAGCCCTTTAGTATTAATATGTATCACTAACTTATCAGTAGCCCTATTTACACTACACGCGACATTCCAAGACGTCTTGGCTACAACGTTTTAGAAAAATTATGTTGAGTTTACAACACCATTTTCAAGACGTCTTACGATTTACGAAATATGATTAAGTTTACAACTGTTTTTTCTAAAACGTCTTAGAGATATGTAGGTATACATGCATGTAAAATGAAAAAGCATTTCAGTACTGGTTGAAGGACGGTTCCGTCAATATAGCTATTCCTTTCCCGCTTCTATACTAACTTTGTGCTGAAAAATGCATAGGTTTCACAAAAATATGTCCAAAAGCCTGAGCATTGCTCTTGAGAAAATCACACCTAAGTAAATCAAGGTAAACATATAGGCCTATTCTCTTTCCCCTAGTATACGTAGATGTATCTGACACTTTTCCCCACTGAAGGACCCGTGTCACACTTTCAGCCGATATTTTTTGTTAAAGTCTATGATGAAGAAAAAGAAGGATCCTTCTTTTTTCATTAACGTTAAAAGTCAAGAAACGAAGCCGCGAGAAACAAATAGTGCACTTTATATTGAAAATCGAAAAATGTGGTATAAAGGACATTATTTGAATACACTGATTACTGAGATAGCAGAGCGTCTGATCAGCGAGTCACTAGAATGCTAGAAGTCATCAGAAAACCTCTGCAGTGACCTTTCATATAGCCTCGTAGACTGAGGTCCGGGTATACTGCCATTAATAAAAAAATCAGTTTTATTCTTATCCATCAAGCTTTTAAAAATCAGTCTTATTCTTATACATGTAAGTAATCTCTAATAAAAGATTTTATATTTGTACATGTATACATGTATAGGCCACCCATTAACAACTCAGTACACAAGCGGACTTTTTAAACATTTTTAACGTATTCCTTGGCCTCAGCTCGTAGGGGTATAGACATGATAAAATAGGAGAGGCAGAATAACCAAAGAGGGTAATACTACATGCAGTATAGGACATGATTCCCATAGTTTCGCACAGAGTGCGAGGTTGCCAACAACATCCGTTGCATTAACTTCCACCTCCAGTTCTTTCAACAAAGTATACATTGACTTTCAAATTAATCACCTTTCTTCAACCAAGATATAATACAATGCTTCATTCGGTGTACCTTCTTGAATTATTTTATTAATGTTTGAACATTCGTTTGAACATTTTCATTTCGTCTGATCGGTTGTGGTAAGTCACCAGGAATAAATTTTTAAATAAAGTTACTTTGCCCCATCTCAGTGACATTGGTACCGTTCTACAGTATTGTTACAACAAGCCAGTAACATTCAAAATGTACGTCACCACCTGACATATGTTAAACGCCGAAAGCCAACCGCCATCAGAAAAAATTGGAGACGAAAACAATATGTCAACCCTTTGGTGGTGACATAATGATTGACTTCAGGATAGTACATGTATGGTAAGTTATGGGATGTTTGTGCATACTGATTGCATTGTAACTATTGATTAGAGGTAAATAAATAAACAATACACAATTGGATAAAAACGCATTTTAATGTCAGGAGTCTCATTTGCAATCATATTTCATACTTGACCTCTTAAGTTTAAAGTGAAAGTATATACAGGGTAACCCCAAAAGATGCCACCCACTACATTTGGAATAACTTTCTCAATAATGATAGAATCTTCATGATTTGTTTTGTGAAGATAGAGTGTTCAATGGAAGAAAGATTGGTGTATTTATAGCATAGACAACTGAGATTTAGAGATATCACGTTTTCCGTCCAGGTATGCTTTCGGTGAAATCTGTTCTAAAAAATGTTCAAAAATACAATTTTCTGAAATTGGAATTTCTGTTTTAACCGTTATTTGAGTCATTTTTGGATTGTTTTCACATATATTATCATTAATATGTCATATCTACCCATTTTTGCTAAATGATTTTGTCAAATTTGATGAACTGACTCGTTTATTGAATAATTTTAGAAAAGATAATTTACATTTTTGAGTGAATTGTTGATGCTTTGCAAGCAAACCAATCTTTCTTCTATTGAACACTCACTTTTTGGGTCACCCTGTACATACAAAAACAGGTTATAAATTGCTACGAGGAGTCTAATTTGACTTTAGATTAAGCTCAGGATTAAGCATACTTTATCATACTTCAAAAATCACTTAGTCCAAACACATTAGAAGTTGGATAACTAGCTCATTTTTCAAAGGTTTTAAGATAGATTCCAAAATTTTGAGATTAATCATAGAAAGATGTTTGATCCGTAACATGAGGTGAAATGTCTGAAGGAGAGCGCAAGCTATTGGTTGAGTTGCATTGCTCAAAACGACACCAAAACGCTTTTATTTCCCTTGTCTCAAATAATAGCCTGAAACGTTGAAGATTATATGTGTTAGCAGTAATCTTTCCAATTCGCATGCAAATGGTTCCCTTACAACCCCTAGCCTTAACTTTGTCAACAGTTTGTTAAATCATGAAAAACATTAATTTAGTAAATTTTATTTCCCTTACATAATATTCAGTCCACCAATATGTAGTCTGGTAATGTACCAAACATGCCCTTACAAAATATAGCAACACTTGTACAACAAAAAAACACATTCCCAAGGGATTTCCACTTAGGATTAAAAAAGGTTCACCCTGTGTGCATTTTAAGACGTAAGCCATAAGTTATATGTACAAATCAAGAGAAAAGAACTAGACATTTAATATAAGAACATCGTCCCATTATTCAATATCGTATTCAACGCTTACTTATTCTAACAAAATTGGTCACATGGTAGAAATATTGGAACATTTTATGTATGCTGTTTTTCTTCCTAGTCTCGGTTTGGAGAACGAAGTTCATCAGTCTACTGCACGTTACTCCTGCTTTGGACAATTTTGATATTTTCACATCTTGGCGTAGATTTAAATGTCTTCTTTTGAATATTCATAATTTCATTTGGGTGATATTTATATATTTTTCATCAAAAAATTATTAGCTTCTCCAAACCGACTCTTGTCCTTTGAATTTTCCTCAAGCATGTCAAGGTATGCATGCCGCTACGAGAAAAATATGCTTTATTGAAAGAGGGCACCACTAAATTGCAGTATGACTCCAGATAGTATTTTTGTCATTATATAATTATCCCATGTGCAAGGGGTAAGGCCTCTATCCCACTCAAACTCGTTTTGTTGAGGACTTTTATGTAAATAAGGTAATAATATTATATTCAAGACATCTTTATGATATCTGTATTCAAATCATTTCATGTACATGCAAATCATGTTTCATCAAGTTCCAGTGTTCTCTTCAATATCAGAAATTGGATGCTTATAATATCGTCCAGTGTAATGTTGAAAATTAATTACCGTCTTACATCCTGGTATTCTTTCAACAGAAATGGTCAACTTTTTTGAATTATCCAAATCTTGTGCAATAGTATACTCTTGATCTGACTTATTCCAGGATATGTTGTTATTGTCCAATACTTTCCTGAGTCTTTTAGATTGAAAAGCGAGTTCCTGAATTTCTTTGTTAGTCATAGCTTCCATTTTGTACATTGGAATTGGTATAGTGTCAACTTCATTTCTTAAAACCTGGAAAATAAAAATTCAAACCTCTACATGTTTATATAAGAGAAGGGGTACAGGTTCTGACAAGCTATCCGCTGGATAAGTCGAGCCAGCATATTTCACGATTCCAAATTCGGATGAATGAACAATTGGAGTACATTGTATACATGTATCTCATGAGTAGTCAACTCTCCACTGTCTGACACTTTTTACTTGACAAGACTTGCTTAGTGATCCAAGAGATTTGGACCTAGTTTGGCTTGAATTGATTCAACCAACGCCTGACCTAACTTCAACAACTTCAAAGAAGGATAAATGCGTTTTTTATGCACAAAGAATGCTGTTACACATATATGGATTGGTGAGTGATAGGAAAAAACACTTACACTTATGTATAAATGGCCATTGGCTGTTTCATCAATCTTTGGCCAATTTTGACTTAGCACAGGCGATTCCTGAAATATAAAAGGATAGTATGTATTTTAAGTTCAAGAGATAATTTTTGAACATATTTTTCAAGTTTGTATGAGTAAAATTGAGTTAATATTTAATATACATGTATGTAAGAAAATATATCCTTTAATACCTACAGGGGGATCCAAAAGTAATGTCAAGAAATGGACCAATCAAATATTAGAAGCTTATTTCTTGAGGTATCAACTTAGTCATCCTTGGGAAGCATTTGTACCAAGTTTCAAGAAGAATAGTCCAGCAGTAATGAAATGGCAAAAACTTGAAGTTACTATTGGATCACCCTGTATGTATGTTAAAATTGTAGTTACCCAATCCTGACAATTTGAGATATGATTGGCTGATTTCATCCCTTCCCATAATTCACTTGCAAACATAGGTGCCATTGGTGCTACCATGACAACCAACTCTGAAAGCATTCTCTCATATTCTGAACTGTAAGTGGCCACTTCTGGTTTCTGTTTCTTCAGTAAGCCTGTCCATTGGTGCATGCGAGAAATTGCAGAACTAAGCAAGAATGTGTGATGAAAATGGAAGGTTATCTGAAAAAGATATTTAAAGTATATAATGCAATTAATGAAACTGATTTTGAGGAAAGGCATTTTTTTAGATAACACATGTATTTCTTAGACTCATTCAGATTAAGGTTTCCCTCATTTTTGGGTATTCTTCTTAACAAAATAAACACTATTTCAACATCATAGAAGCAATTTCCAAGAGGGAAATATAGTAAAACCTGCAGTGTTACACCTCTATAAGTAGAAAACCTTTTACAGTTCTGTGGCCAATTGACTTCATGTTAATTAAACCTCTATAAGTGGAGCACCTCCTAACACTTTTTAATAGAACTGAAGGGTGTTCAATGTACACAGGTTTTACATTTTCGAGTATACTATTTTCTGCTTCCTTCAATTTATGGTACAAAATAAATGTATTTGTCCCATACAGGGTGTTCCAAAAGTAACAGGACTGGTGCTGGCATTTCGTCAATTTTGCACTGAGTATCTTCAAATTTTCACAAATTGTACTTTGAAGTATTGCAACTTACATTACAAAGTTTCAGAAAAAATGATGAAATGCGGTTAGAGTTATGGTTACTATTGTAACATGACATTCCAATACCCGGGGCAACTTTTTTCCTGAAAATGTGATATCTAACATTTTTGTATTACTGAAGAAAGTATCTAATTCACCTATTATAATACAACATTTCTTGTTTATTTTATTAGTTCCTTTGTTGTAAAGGTGTTGCTATACAACTCAGATTCAAGTATAATTTCATAATGATAATAACATTTATTCAATTTCCTGGAATATCACTATGTTTAACAGTCTGAACAATTCAAGGTTGAGTTTTTGAAAATACCCAATTTGAAGCCAGTCATCTACCTTGATAGCGCGCCTGCCAGCAGGTCGGCATTAAAGACCATGCAGCTATAGAAGAACTAGGTACTTGAGGTCTAAAACCATGCACCATACTCTTCTGATCATGCAATATCTAATTTTTACTTATATTGAGAACGGAATGCTAATCAGTGCTGTAAGACCTTTAAATATGAGAATGACCTTCTCCAAATTGTCCAATCGACCCTGCGTGACATGCCCTCAAATGGGTTCACTCATGTGTTTGGGTCATGGATACAGAGTACTACTCTTGTACTGACCAAAGAGGAGCCTATTTTTCAAAGTAGAGGATACAAAGGAATATCAAATGATGTAAAACAAATGTAATTCCCATCAGTTGTTGCATTTTAACTTTGATATGGCATGTACAAAATGATATGGCATGTGCAAAATGCTTAATGTCTCTGTAACTTTTTTGCGTGGAATGTTGCCCCGGGTATTGTGATGTCATGTTACTATAGCAACCATAACTCTACCCGAGTTTCATATATTTTGTAGAAACTTTGCAGTCTTAGTAAAGATACATGAAAGTACATTATGTAAACTTTTGAGGACGATTAGTGCATATTTGACAAAATGCCAGCACCAGTCCTGTTACTTTTGGAACACCCTGTACTTTGTTCAGTTACATGAAGAGGGTTTGCAAAAATTTATATTTTCATCAACGGAATAATTCCAATATCCTGAACCTCATATAGGATAATCCCTATTTATTACTTACATCCCCAAGCAGTTTATTTCTCGTTTCATTCATTATTTTCTCTGCCTTTTTAAACTCTTCAGTTTCCTTTGCAGGCATGGGATCAATGGCATTTGCCCTGTTCTCAACATAAGTTGCAACCAAATTCCACATCTTCTTTTGCCAATTGTTTACTCCCTTAAACTCTGCAAAGATAAAAATACTTAAGATGTTGTAGGTTGCAACAAGCAGTAACAATTCATAATAAAAATAATCTACAGGGTGTCAAATAAATATTTCTCCACCCTAGCTTTAACATCCACATAATGTTGCATAACTTTTTTGTCTGCAAGATATCTGAATTTTTCTGTAGTACATTAAAACTTGACTTCATGTTGCAACTCCACAAGAAGTTTCAGAAGACTAGCTCAACTAGATGCCCTTTTATGCACAAAAGTTCATACTTCTGAAATCAAGGGGAGAGAACACATGTATTTGTGTGATGTGCATCTTTTTACAAGAGACTTAAAGTAAAACTAGAATTCATATACAGTAATATGATTATGTAATGTTGAAACAACTATAAATATCCATGAACAAGTATGAACATTGACTTACGTTCATCAGTCCACTGTCTATCAGACTTTGGGGAGACATTTGAGAGAATGCAGAGCCTTGTCGTATCAACACCATACTCTGACAACACATCCTATGGATATGATATTAAGCAAATTATCAACCATTAATGGTATTAGTGTATTTATTCTGTCATCAATCAGAAGTCAGAATCTTATAAATTGTTTTTTTTCTCTTTTTCTATAGAAAAGAGGTCTTTTTGGCCAAAAAATTTCTAAATTAATCAATAAACTAGTTATTAATGATTTCCTTTTTAGAAATGGAGATATGCATCATTTACCTGTGGATCAACTCCATTGTATTTTGACTTTGACATCTTGTCCCATCCTACTACCAATGGCCGGTCCCCTCCAATCACATAGGCATCTTTACCTATAACATGGAAGAAAGGGAGTAAAGAGCTAAAGGCTAAAATAGTACTTGCAACGTAATGCAACAGAATGACCTTGTGGGAAAATGATGCTTCTGTAGCATGGGTCATTCATAATAATGTTAAAATAAATGTGAGTGAAATTACTATGCCTTAAAAACAATAACCTAAAACGAAAATGATTAAACATTCCCTTTTGACAGGGTGACTTAGAGTAGGACTGAACGCAGAAAGAGTTTTACTTTTTTCAAATATCCAATTCATCTTATCTCAACTATCTATAAATAAAATACATGGAAGTCATGAAAGTCATGGAATATCTATTATAAAGAATCAAACAAAAAAGAGAATGTTAAGGGTAATATGGTACAAATATTTACCTTTAAATTCAATCTCATCCGGCTTGAGATAGCGCCCAGTGGTGGGGCATTGGTATGTTCTCCCCTGAATCATGCCTTGGGTGAGGAGTTTAGTGAAGGGTTCACGACATCCCACTAGACCCATATCATGTAGAAAATGGTTGAAAAATCTGGCATAATACAAATGCAGCACAGCTGTAATAAACCAACAATAAATAAATAAGATGTACATGTACTTTGTAATTGTTAAATTGTATAATTCATGTTTTGATCTACAATGTATATTGCTATAGAGGGTAGAGGGGGGGGGGGGCACCTACCATGTTCTTTTCCACCTATATAAAGATCAACAGGCATGCCTTGTTTTGCTACATTTTTGGCAAATGGTTCAGATGTGTTAGTAGCATCCAGGTACCGTAGAAAGTACCAGGATGAGTCTAAGAATGTGTCCATTGTGTCAGTTTCTCTTTCAGCTGAGCCACCACACCTAGATGCATTAAAAATGTTAAGATTATTACAGATTAATTCTAAACATTTATAATTTACTTTTTCAAAATTAAGAGGAGTTTAAGGGAACAACTTTAAGGTAATGTACATGTAGATGGATAAATGAGACAAATAAGTGATTTATGTACGGACTACTGAATAACCTTAAAAAATCTAATACATGTATCATTGTTTTTTTAAATTGAAATGTTCTTTCAGTGAACCAATTCTCTCAAGTATAGAGTAACTGGATACTTCAACAAACTGAGATATTAAAATTGGTTTTGCAATCAGCTGAAAACATTTATTTAAATGTACACCATGTAAAACATTCAGAGCTAAATGGCTCATTTTTAAACATTTCTTGCATTCGGTATACTTTAAATGAGAATTTTAACATAAAGTTCCTGATATAAAACCATTGCATAGTGAATAAATGCAAATTACTTGGGACATGTAGTGTGAATCCAATCATTGGCAAGCTTCAAGGCTGACTGGCCTCTACCATGTGACATCACCTTAGGGAGCTCAACTGGCAGATCTTCAAAGGGGACAGGCACCACCTTAATGTAAAATCAAAATGCACTTATGAAGTGGTGGGTCCCATTCTAAGTTCTTGTCCTTAAAGGCATACAGTGTAACTCTGAAACCCATTAAACCTAAACCTTACCCTGTGCGGAAATAAGGTATGGAGTCATGAGGGGGAGGACAAGTACTGATACAAAACTTATCACATATAGTACTGGGGGAAAATGTTAACTACATCTCCAAAATACAATACATGTATACTGTTTTTGGTATGTTTTAGGGGGATTGGCAAAATTTTAGCTATAGCATATTGAATAAACTCTTTATATGTATATTGTGGCCGCATTACCTTGCAAGTTTTGCAGTGTATTATGGGAATGGGTGTTCCCCAATATCGTTGCCGGGAAATCAACCAATCTCTCAAATTTTTACTACATGGATAGCATTCAACATCATGGCTCTGAAATTATAAAAGACAAAATAAAGATACATTATTTTTAATATACAAGATAGCTATTTCCAACATTTTGAAACATTTAAAAAAACGATCTGGTTCTCAAATGATAAAATAATTAAGAAATTAATAATAATATAATCATCTCATTTTATTCAAAAATAAAAAGTCAATAAAAAATTTAAATTGAATTTAAATTGTCACTTGGAAAGTCTTACCATATCAGAAGTGTTCAACTTTTTTGAAGTACATGGCAGACTATCATCTTTTCCTGGTAATAATCTGGTTTTATTGAAATCTTCATGACAAAATGGAAGGCATCCGATCCCTAAACATATAATCAAAAACATGCCTCCTTACACAGTGATTTTTTATTCTAGTTTTCAAATCAAATATTATGTACAGTTGTACAGTTGTAAGAAAATCAATTTCTGTTGAAGTAGGGTTATTGCCAAAGAAAAGGAATCTGAATATTTATAGCAACTAGTTGGTAAAAGTTTTTGTGTAAAAAGGGCCAATGTTTTCAAAAAGGCAACTTTTCTTTAAATGCAGCCCAATTAAAAAAGCTGAAAAGCATCTATTTAGCCCCCTCATATCAACCATTGTAGACTAATGTCTTTGTAAGTAAACATATTCCAAAAATTCTAATGTGAACATCTAATCAGATCTTTCCACAACATTTTTTAGACACGATTTTCTATCAAGTAATAACGTGTATTCTGCACATACACAGGCCTGTAGTCAGCTTTTGCCAAGGGGTTCACTTTTTCAAAAATTCTAGGGGGTTCACATTACAATATTTTGGCCCAAAGGCATAATCACTTGAAAAGTGCTCAGAATGGTGAAAAACTATGGCTTTGTAAAAATTTGGGTTGAGGGGAGAAAGAATGAAAGAATAAAATAAATGAAAATACAAAATAGTAGTAATGTAAATCTTACCTAAATGTAATTCTTCACCATTCCTAAACAGTTCAATATCATCAACTACATATATGGGGACCTCTTCATCCCATCTATTTTTGTGTAACGTTGTTAGATTGAGTGTTGTCAACACACCATTAGCCTCTTTCTGAAAATAAAGGTACAGTACATGTAAATGCACAATGTACACAGGACATGTATATCCAATTCATTGTCATGCTCAAATGTAACTATTTATGATTGTCTACGATTTCTTATCATAATACTGTAGTAGAAATAAAATAGTAAAGTCTCACACATGCATAACATTTTGTTTACATGGTGATACCCCATAAACAACAGCCCAGAGTATAATAATTTCCTTAATATCTACTGTATAGGTCAACCTGTACATGTACATGCTGAAATACATATTTTCATTCAAACTGTTTTCAGTCTCACAGTTTAAAGTAACTCATCACTGCTACTTATGAAAAAATTAATGCTTTTGAAAAGATGCAACTTACAACGTTATTTGGAGTGTTCAAAAGATGATTGGGGCTGAGAACAATCCACCTAAGACTTTCAAAGTCAACAGTATCCTCTATATGACCGGTTAACCCCTCTGGTGCTGGATTACCTTCCTTGTCCTTTAAAAGTAAAACTAAATGTTATCGGCCAGTGGTAATTGATTAAAGGGAACATCAGAGACACACTACAATCAGCAACTTTATCAAAATGTGTTAAATCAATACAAAATTGTTTTAGTCATTTGATAATTTTTCATCAGTATTTTCTCCATACTCAAAAGTAAACTTCTTATTTTAGGGATCTTAAATTTTTCTATAATGACGAACTTCCTTGAATATTATTTAATTCACATTACCTTTAAGGGTACTGAGATTCTGTATTCCCCATGTGGTCCAAGCCACTCCCTCTGCATTGCTATAACATCCTTCCAGTGCAAGGGGTCTAAAGTATCCAATCCTTCAAGCAATGACTGAAAAACACCAACATATTATAAGGCACTGTCGACTACATCACCAATTTGAATCATTATCTATAAGCATCTTTGTTTTTAGCACTCTTCAGTGTTGTTCACAGTTCTGTATACTCAGTACAGCACTGTTTTGCCAATGATAATGATATTTCTACTTTTCCTTTCCTTGCTTTTAAACTACAGGGAAACCTGCAAAGTGCATCACCTCTAGAAGTTGAACACCTCTGTTAGTGAACACTATTCAGAGTCCCAAGACCAACTGACTTTTAATTAGAAGTTCCAAGTGTGTTCTACTTAGGCTGGTTTTACTGTATATATTTCAAATGAGATCTTGACATTGAAACACCTAAATAATCCCTACAGTACATGTACATACCTTGTGATATTTAGTTGTTTTGATGTACCACTGACGTAACATTTTCTTCTCAACTTTAGCACCAGATCTCCATGATTTTCCATCACCATTAATCTGTTCCTCTGCAAGTACAGTCTCATCAACTGGGTCCCAGTTGACTTCTGCATCTTTCTGGTAAGCAAGCCCAGCCTTGTACATTAGTAGAAATATATACTGTGTCCAGCGATAATAGGTGGGGCTACATGTCGTTACTTCCTGTAGAAGAATGAATTATAAGATAAAGCATGGAGTGATTGTTGAGGGCAAAGGAGGGTAATTTTGAAAAGTCAGGTAACTTTATCAGGAGAAATGAAGTACTTCAAAACTTATTAACAAAGCATTAACATGCAAGATGTCATCACCAGCCATTTGTTACATTTGTTACAGACGCCAAACATCACCAGTCAAACACCAACTGCTGTCCATAAAAAAATTGCAGACTATTTACAATATATCACATAAAAACAATAGGAATAATCAGGCAAAATAACCTTTTGAGATATCTGTTTGCCCTATTTTGCAAAATAACATTGCGTAATATAATGTACATACCCTGTCCCAGTCAAAGCTGTAGCACATTTCTTTGAGTTGCTGTTTCATATGGCGGATATTACTGGAAAATTGAAGAAATGTTATTAAGTTAAGTTTATAGTGTGAAGTTTAATGTTACTAAGTTATGTTTATACTGTTAAGTTTAATGTTACTAAGTTAAGTTTATTGTGTTAAGTTTATAGTTTCATTCAAAATATTTACAGTCATATTATAAAAATATGATGCAGAGTAATTAATATAAAACATGAAATAAGTAGAAAGAAGGAAAAAGCAAAAACGAGGTCCATAATTCAAGTTACAAAGAAAGATGCATAAAGGGCATATGACTCCTTTATTTAGGGGAGTACATGTACTGCATACCTGTATGTCCAATTCTCAGGTTGTATCCCTCTCTCAATTGCAGCATTCTCAGCTGGAAGACCGAAGCCATCCCAACCCATAGGATGGATCACCTTGAAACATAAATGTTCAGTTTATGTGGGCGAGAGATCCCAAATCCAATTTTAATGCATTTTTGAAATTCGCTTAAATGTTGTACTAGGTCAATTTTAAAAGTAAGCATTATGGCATGAAGTTAAACCTTTTCCATTTTTGAAACAATATTTTTACTAGTTTCATCTTATAAATGGGGGTCATATTCCCTCATTCCCATCAAGGGTTTTTTCTGGTGTGGATGTAAAATTTTAAGTCAAATTATTCTAAGAAATGTCATGTGTCAATGTATTTCAATACACTCTAGTTCAAGACTTCCAAGATGTAAATAAGAATTCAGTTTGGCAATTGTATATTGTCAACTAGCTTTCAATTTCAAATGAATAACTGTATGCTGCATCTTATTTATACACTTAATAAACTTACAGATTTTCCTTGAAGCGTGAAGTAGCGAGCCATGACGTCACTGATGGTATAGACACGTATATGTCCCATATGTAGCTTGCCACTTGGGTAAGGAAACATAGACACAACATAATGTTTTTCTCGGTCTCCCTACAAATACACACTGTCATATACATATGTACAAGTAAACTGACTAATATTCCAAAAACAATCATGTTTCCTACTGTGTAAATGTATATACCATCACTTATCACATTAAATAGAGACCGGAGTCCCTCTATTGTCCAATCTACAAACCGCTAGTCTCATCTGAATAAAATTTTCAAGTCTCTTTTGAAAATTTTCTGGTAAGAACCATGTGTACAGTACTATTTACTATTACAGTACATTTTTAAAACAAGGCACAGACGTGAACAATATCGTACCTAAAACACAGCATTGTGGTCTTGTTGACCAAGAAAGCAAGATGGCCGCAGAAAAGTTAATCAACTCTAGAACTTATCACTGTGTAACATTTGAACGGTTTGGCTGGAAACCTGTAGACAAGTCTTGAAAGTGAAGATTTTAGGACGGAAAATCCAAAATGGCCACCTTAAAATTTACCCAGAATGCCCAAGAACCAATCAGTTCTTGAAGTTGATATGTAGAAACATCCCTGAAAAATTCAGATGAATCCCTCAAATGGTTTGGCTGAAAATCTGTAGACGTCTTGAAAGTGAAGATTTTAGAACAGAAAATCCATAATGGCCACCTTAAAAGGACGATTCTCGGTTCTAAATGAGCATTATCCCTGCTTCGGACAAATTTGATATTTTCACATAATATCGATTTGAATGTCTTCTTTTGAATAATCATAATTTAATTTGGGTAATATTTCTAGATTTTTCGCAAAAAAATATTAGCGCAGTACACTGATGAACTTCTTTCCCCAAATCGAGACTTGTATTTTATTGAATCGGTCTAATTGAGCGTTATCCCTGTTTCAGACCAATTTATAATTTTTACATCTTGTAGATTTAAATGTCCTCTTTTGAATATTCATAGTTTAATTTGGGTAATATTTCTATATTTTTCATGAAAAAATTATTAGCCCAGGAGACTGTTCTCCAAACCGAGAATCGTCCTTTAACCAGAATGCCCAAAAACTAATCAGTTCTTGACGTTGATATGTAGAAACATCCCTGAAAATTTCAGATGAATCCCTCAAATGGTTTGGCTGGAAACCTGTAGAAAAGCTGAAAAGTGAGACGCCGCCCGCCCGCCCGCCGCCCGCCTGCCGCCTTCCGCAAAGCTGACTACAATATCGTACCTTTTGTTAGGTACGATAAAAAGATCTCAATTACGATACCTCCCAAAGATCCGTGATATGTTATAAATTGGTGAAGTTATTGAGGATTCAAAGTGCAAAAATGGGTGAAAAGGGTCAATTTGTTTGCTCGGCAGACCTGATTCTGATTGAAATGCTCATACCAGTTTGCTATTTTTCATCTCCTCATCTAAAGCTCTTATCTTGTCTTTCCAGTGGTCTTCTATCTCCAATTTTTTCTCCTTGTCTAATTTTTCCTTAAGACAAAACATACATATGCATATACATTGTATAACAGACTGTAAAGTGCATTTACATTACAATCAAAATAGCAATTATATTCCCTGGGATCAACATTATGAATGTTCATCCAAAGAACTGTACACCCAACCAAACAAATCACAACTCTTCATATCATGGAGACGGAATGGACTTTAACCATGATATATGTATGTACTACAGTATATATACAGTAATAATGTAATGATTATATTTTAAAATACATGTATGCAAACATGAAAGTTTATAACACCCACCCATTTTCCTGTTTTGCTGAAGAGTAGTCTGGCAGATCTTCTTACAGTGTGTGCACTTACAGACCTTAATATTGATTTCAGAAGCATTTTGATATGTGCGCACCCCTTGACCTGGAATCATTGAAAAAGGTTTTCATGTATCAGGCATAATGGGAAGCAATTTAATGTGAATTTTGTTGTTTTTAGACAACAAAAATCAAATCAATACTGTTGATGGAATCTTCAGCCTATAATTTCATTTGGAGTACAAGCTTTAGATAAAGATGGAGTCCTGCTAAAGTACACGTAGAATGATCAATGTCTATATCTATGTAAATAATCTGCAAAAGGTTGTAGCCCATTTAAAGCAGATATCAATACTGTAGCACAGGGTTTGTAGAAAAAATTGGGTACCGGGTAGTAAATCCTCCATGCTAGGTTCAAACTAGGTACCCGGTCGAAAAAACCGGCTACCCAAAAAATGAAAAATACGAATATATAACATTATTAGATCATTAGAAAACGTGTATGATTTGTTTTGAATTCACAAAAATGTATGTAACTTCCTTCAAAATTGAGCTAGAAGCTTCAAATAAAAAGCATTTTAAGGCTCTTTTCTTCCTCTATCATCATGGTCATATTTTCATTGGTTATTGGGGGGGGGGGGTGCGATCGCACCATCGAACCCCCTCCTGGCTACGCCTATATAGCTATGACATTGTAAGACGATTTGAAAAACATGACAAATCAATCTTACTCTATATTCAATAGTTCGTATGTTGGTACGTGAATTGTTTTGATTATGATTTAAATCTGTAAATAGCTATCGTTACCTTAGCAGAGAGGTGACGTGTGTTAAATTACCTGATGAAACATGTAAGATTTTGATTATTTATCATAATTTTCCCAATTTTCGACGAAACATCCACTGAAGTGTAAATTGTTACGTCTTACAATGTCATAGGCGTAGCCAGGATGGGGTGCAATGGTGCGATTGCACCCCCCCATAACCAATGAAAATATGACCATAATGATAGAGGAAGAAAAGAGCCTTAAAATGCTTTTTATTTGAAGCTTCTAGCTCAATTTTGAAGGAAGTTACATACATTTTTTTATTTTTTGGGTACCCGTTTTTATCGTATCGGGTACCGGATACCAAGTTTGATCCCAGCATGGAGGATTTACTACCCGGTACCCAGTTTTTTCTACAAACCCCTGTAGCACATTCCCTGAGCCATCCTACAGGTACATGTACATGTGCTCTTACATTTACAGGAGATTTGGTAATTGGGGAACTAATGAGTGACATTGGCTGGCGTTGAATCTATTAGGTTGCTTCGAAGATTGGGTTTCGGAGGAGTGGGTTTTGAGTTGACTGAGCCACTCCGATTCGAACCAATCGTGTGTCCTCAAATCTACAATTCAAAATCCAAGAATTGTGTACAGATGAAACAACCTGCTTGATATAGATAGTGTAAATATAGATTCAAAGTCTAGATCTTGACTAGTCTAAGCTACAGAAAACAAATAGATTTAGCTCTTACACAAACAGATCTAAAAAATTTTTACAACTTCTTGCCAGAAATCTTGCAAATCAAAAGTACACTGTATAAACAAAACTGTGAGGTTTAAGAACACGACAAAAACATTAAAACGTATGGTAAGAGTTTACTTACTATTAAGTTATTAATGATATCGTCAGCATTACATTTTGATGCGATAAATAAGTCTTATTGCATTTTGGTTCATATTTTCATGGAGGCTGACATTATGTCTGATCACGTGACACTTTCAACTTCCTTTTCCGGTTCGGCCATATTGAAAAAGTATGAATTTTCTGAACTTATTCCAAAATCTATCAACATCGTATTTATATAGTCATATTTTGACAATTTTTCCAGATTTATATTAAACCATTGATTTTTGTTTGTGTCGGTAACTAATTTCTATCACCATTGGTCCATTTATTGTTGAGAAATAAACTCTGAAAAACAAGCCTTGCCTGTAATTATTTCAAAATTTGATGTTTTCTGCTAAAACAATATTTTATAATTACAATTTCTTTTTGATGCACTGTGAATCTGACAACCGATATGATCCATACATAGTTGTTATGTATAATGTTTTCATCGTTATTTTTCAGCTGAGGACAACAGTTTTCATCAACCATGGCCCCCAAACGTAATAACATGATCCCAAATGGGCATTTCCACAAAGACTGGCAACGATGGGTGAAAACCTGGTTCAACCAGCCTGCCAGGAAGATCAGGCGAAGGAATAACAGAATCAAGAAGGCGCGTGAAATTATGCCACGACCAGTGGGTGGTGCTCTTAGACCAGTTGTGAGATGCCCAACATTCAAATACAACACACGCACCAGGACTGGCAAGGGTTTTACTTTAGAAGAACTCAAGGTAAGATATCTTTACCTTTTTCAATTGACTTGGGCTAATTTCAAGATTCTTGTTTGGTCATTTTGCATCTTTCCCAGGGTGAGACGTGCATCCACGGATAGTGGGAAGTCCTCCATCTAGGAGGTATAAACACCAGGTAATGCGAATAAAAATTAAAAAAAATATGAAAAAAATATGGTCACTTGTCCTCTAGATTCAATTTTTGAATGAATCGTAGCATAATGTACAGATTATTTGATATCATGCTATTCTTGAAACATTTATACGCAAAAATAACTGGGTCGCTCACCTCTTATGCCTATATGTGTTCAGTAATCATCAATTCTCGTGAGTAAAATTTCTCTAGGCCATTGAAGGGTCCGCTCAGTAAATTGACAATTTCTACTGCGCATGTGTGAAACACTGGTCGAAATGGTTTGGTAAATTTCAAGCTATTTGATTGGGCGAAAAAATCACGCGCCTTTGCGTGATTTGCTTTATTCTCGCGAGATAAGGCGCTCCGTCCCCTTAAATTTTTATTTTGAACAACCATTATGATTTGGTGCATTATCTGACCAATAAAGCAGATTTGGAGGTATGAATATTTTTTTATTTTTCTGTTTAGTGTTTTCTACAGGCCCTATGTGTCTCAGGGTATTTGTTTAACGAAAACTAGACAAATAATTTATTTTAAAAATACATATTTTTTATTTTGGATGGAAGCTGCGTAACCTGACAAATAATATAAGTAATATATTGAGGACTTCCCATAACCGTGCGTGCATCATATATGTTGGTCGGTGCACTTTTTAAAAGTCATCATCCCGGTTGACCAGTCCACCTCATGGTCAACATAAAGTACATATCGTAACAAACCAGTGTTTAGGGCCTCGATGAAATAATATACATGTCACATACCACCTAATTCTGCAACATTTTCTGAAATTCATACTTTGAAGTTTTTGTCATCTTTTCAACAGAGTAGGGCTATAACAGTTCAATGTTTTCATTGTGTTGATGAGGATACATTTTGGTTATTGAAGAATGGGGTATTTTTGTTACTTGGATTAGACTAAAGAAGGACTTACCTACTTCACCTGACTTTATTCAATATAGATAAAAAGGGTGATTGCTATGTTCTAGATAGCCGACAAGTAAAATGCCTGTTCATTTATTGTCAGAATTCCCCTAAACTTGCCAACTCTATCCAAAGCAATTCTCCCTTTCGCGGTTCGCTGTTTGAATCAGAACGTTCGCAAATATGTTCTGAAAAAGCACTCAAAAAGGACAAAATTTGATTGGTCAATATTTTCCCACTATGCATTTCGCGTAGCTATTTGCGTGACCCGAAAGTTCTAAATCAAACTTATTACGAAATTTTGTTTTTACACCCGCACGCTAAATAAAACAATGACACCAATGGAATTATTCTTTTTTGTCATTGCTTTAATAGTCAGTATACCGAGTTTAATCAATAAAAGATTGTACAATGAACAACAAAATTCGGAAACGAGTACTATAGATTTGCTTTCGGACCACTGAACAGATTGACCTAGATAATAGCGACGCGTCTTCTTTGGTCTACTGCTCAGTTGTTTGTGGGTTTTCAACGTAACTCTATAATGTAATTTGAAGATGAACACTTTTATTCAGTTGTCGCATTGATGTTGCAGTTTGTAGTGCGGTAAGATTGGCATGAAAGTATTGAAAGTCGAATGGAATTGTTTTTTCCAATATGGCGACTAGTCAACTGATCACGTGACCTTCTCTTCCGGAATATTTTCTCACTTTTCCATCGTCGTTTTCACCACGCTATGAATCAATACAATGAAAAAAATAGCTGTTATATTAAGATTAATAAGAGATCAATCGTTTCTAATAATTTTTTCTGTACTCTCGTACAGGAATATGAACGAATATATCGTTTGAAAAATTGGTGTGAAAATCCCCATGTTAAACCTATGAGGGAAAACAAGGAAGTATAAATTTGTTCCTCCGCGAACTGCATCATGGGAAATATTTTGACCTTATAAGGAAAGATTTTCGCGTCTCCTCTTTTGAAGAGGGAACAACGATTTCGAGAATTGTTATGTAATGTTCAAATCATATATTCCCTTCATTGGCGATATAAGTTAATCCATTTAGTAGTTTTGTATTTTTAGGACATTTGTTAAAATGATTGAATTTTTGAGAAAAATCAGAAAAACCTGTAACTTCATTATTGGTTTTTATCCTGAGAAAGCTTTATTTTTGACCGCTTATATTCATGATTGGTAGGCTTGATTGATTAAAAGATTCTGATTGGTTACAGTTCAACAGTACTTTCACTTTCTTATCCACCTCATATCCTCACTACTATTAGCGGTGTCTATTAACTATAGATTTCTTATTTCATTTATTCACTTATTCAACATGCTTTAAATTATAATTGTTTGCATTTACATTACACTTTAATGTATTTCAACTATTGTAACTCTATTAATTAGAGGTAAATAAATATACAATACAACAATATCGACCAATGTCATGATGCTTTTAGATTAAACTACATATCATAATTTTATCTAATTTCAGGCAGCAGGTATCTCAAAGAGGTTTGCACCCACAATTGGTATCTCAGTAGACTTTAGAAGACGCAACATATCTGTGGAGTCGCTACAACAGAATGTCCAGCGACTAAAGGAGTACAGAAGCAAACTTATCCTGTTCCCCAAGAAGATGAGCAACCCCAAGAAGGGAGATGCCTCCGTAAGTTATATGTACAGATATTTTCTAAGGATAGGATTAATACTTAACAGCCAGACATTTGGTTTTAAAGAAACTTAGAGCAGTTATTGTATCGTCGAATAAATACCACAGGACTCTCCGCATCAGTCGTGAGGCATTTGAAAGCTTTTGTGCCTAGCCCTAAGGCATTTATTATTAATCGATATAATACCTGATCTGAGGTCTATATTGCTATATACAGTCAGAATACAGTCATGTTCAAATATTTATTGTAAATAATCTTAAAGTTGCACCAACAAAAGACATTGATAGAAACCCTCTTTTCTGTGCATGCTAAGCTTGAAAGAAATTACTCCCTTGCTAAAGCATAGTCTAGAAGGAACTTCTTACGCTGTTCCTGAGTTGAGCCCCATTTTCAAAAGTTTGATTGTTGAAGTGAGTCTTACAATAAATTATCAAAAAATATTTTCGATCTGTCAAGCTTTATATAGAAGTTTTTATCAATGTCATTGAAAGATGGCAAATTTGTTTGTGTTACATGATACATTTACTTTTATAGAAGTGTCGCCATTTTTTAAATCAGTAGTTATTTAAAACATGCACTTTGTTTAACATGTGCATGCATGTCTAATGATCTCTGAACTTCAATTGCCTTTTTCTATATGAGTTATTTTTTTCTTGGTTCAATGTTAAAGCAAATCAAACTTTGTGTCATGTTTGAGTAAGTGTGTGAGTAACATGTTTCAATGATTATTTTTTTTATTTTTTCTTCTAAATTAAGTATAGGACACTTTGGTATTAAATGTATCTGCCTAATATGATGGCTGTTTTGTGTAATTTCAGGCTGAGGAGATGAAAATGGCCACCCAGTTGTCTGGTGAGGTCATGCCAATCACTCAGGTCTCCAAGAAGGAGAAGGCACGCAAGATCACAGATGAGGAGAAAAAATTCAATGCTTTTGCAGCCATCAGACAGGCACGTGCCAACAAGAAACTGTTCGGTATTCGCAAAAAGAGAGCCCAAGAGAAGGCTGAAGAAGCCGCTATGCAGGGCAAGAAGAAATAGACACTATAAGATATTGGAGTGTAATTTTATGATTAAGAATATACTTCCCTGTACAAATGAATTTGCTGCTTTGATGTGTTTTTTATTGGTTTCTGATGCTTGGTAAAATTCGTTGATCCCCTAAAGTTTTTATGTCACCACCAGAGGCGATGACATATGCTATTGTCTCCAACTTTTTTTCTGGACAGTTCAGTGGTTGGTGTTTGGCACTTGGTGTCTGTAACAAATGGCAGGTTGTGGTGACATTTTGCATGTTAATGCCTTGTATCAAGTTTTACCTGATTTGTCTGAAATCAATATTTTATCCTTTTGACAGATCAAGTCACACACATTTTTAACAATGTTATGAAATTATGAGATTTGCAATAGTGTATACAGGACCTTGTTCTAATGGTTCTCACTGTGGGTAATCACATCCCGGAAGAAGTGCTGACATGTTGAAGCCTTCTTTTTTGTGTGATTGGTGTCTGTACATTCATATCAAAGTTTTCCTTGACATACATAGTTCTCACTCAAGTCCAATTGTTCTGACTAACTTCATAAAAATGCTCGGATTAACATTATTTGGGAATGATTCTGATGATGCAGATGCCATATGTATGTTCAGTTTGGGAAATTGTATTTTAGAATATTTATTCTCAAATTCTTCAATTACCAAAATATTTGATCAGAAAATATTTATTCTGTTATCATTTTAAACAAAAAGAACCTCACCGTCACCTTTAAAATACTATTTTTACTATTTCCCAGTGGGAGTCCATCTGCAGTCTCAACATATGTTAAGATTGCCAGTCTGTATTCTGATCTTGAAACGTGAATGTCAGTCTGCATTCTTGAAGCATGATATGGTACTGTCATACAGACGTTCATCTCGAGATCTGTTTCCTGAGTCACAACCATTGTTTAGAAAAATGATTGCATGCCTCCCACTTTGTGAGATACACCCTATTTACTTTGACATTTTTTCCATAAACAAAATGGGACGGATGAGTCTTCAGTTTCCACCTCCTGGAGGTAAGCTGTTCGATGGAATACAGTGGCATCTGAGGCAATAATAATGGCACCTTCTCGCCACCCTCTGTTCACATGTGTGTGATAATGCAATATTAGAAGCCCTCCTGATTTAGTCAATGTCAGTCTGTCTCGTTCTTTACTAGAATCATATAGACGAACCATGTGTAACATAAGAAAATCTCGCCATCTTTTTAAAGATTGATACATACTGTTTGATTTCTCAGTTGTTAAACGTCAATCTGGTAAGAACTATATGTACATTTAGAAAGACAAAAATAGCTTTCTAATTGTGTGCTTTTAATGGTTAGCCACTTCTGAGACTAACATAAAATTTGATCCTAACAAGAGAACGCACGTAATATTACATTTTGTTCATGACAACAAATCATTTTTTAGAAATACGTAATTTTCATTAAATATAGGCCTACGTTGAATTTCATGACTTTGTATTCAAAACGGATAATTTAAGCCTACAAATATGATAATATATAGTCGGTGTTTTATATATTGTCGGTATTTACACATTTTCCTCAACTCCTGTTTTGAGGCTACTATACCCGTGGAAAACACCGACCGGTCGGTGGGTCAGTCTTTTCGTAAACCCTGACAATTTGGGCATATCTGTAACTTAACCAGCTTTAAATTTCCTTCCTAAGGCGTTAGAGTCACATTTTTTCGCTAATGTATGTCTTATTCAATTTTTATAAAAGCCTGAATGTTTTAGGTCAAAGCACCAACTACGAAAAAGTTGGTCAGTGGGATAAGAAGAAAAGGTTAACACTCCCGGTGTAAAAGAAATGAAATGGTCCCCTGGGGATTATGGTCCCCTTTCCTTACGGCCCTTACTGGCCCTGACTGTGTATAAATAATAAGGAAAATAATTGTAATTAGGTCACCATATAAAGCAATGGAGAGTAGGACCATAATTTGATAGGACCTACCCTTTTACACCGGTGTAAGAGGGTAGGAGGTCCTATTAATTTATGGTCCTACTGTCATTTGATTTATATGGTGACCTCTTTCTCTTATCATCTTATACACAATCAGGGCCAATAAGGGCCTTTAAAAAGTTGGACCATAATCCCTGGGGGACCATAATTTCTTTCACACCGGATTAACACTACACCATCTTCTGCACTAGTGAACTGCAATTCAACTCTGCTTTCTGCTTGACTTTGCTTCTTCTCCTCGGGCAAATATCAAGAATTCAAGAAAAAAGAAATAGGATATTTTCTTTTCATATAAAATTTTATTTCTATATACATAACTTGCTGCAAAACATTCTTAAATCTGTTAATTTAGTGTACGTAGATACATACAATTGGGCACATATACAATATTTACATTCAATACACAATAATATTTATAAGTTAATATTTACAATTATTGATGTATTTCATACATAGGCAAGCATAACTTCAAGGTAAAAATGCAATTTTGAAAATGTTAGGTACAACCTATACGAATGTTTCATTTCAATTTTGAAAAGTTAATTTGTAGAGATAAAGATATAAGCGTCTTTACTAAAATCAAGACAAGAGAAAGACATAAGCAGATATTGACCCTATACTTTACAGATTACGCAAATATTGACAGCGTATATTATTGACACATTGTGGCATACATCTACTGATTACGAACACCCAGCGTTCTTAAAATATACAGATTCTAGAGTTGATGCAAACATAAAATATACAAGACTCACGATAAATATCTTTTTTGTTTTTTTGTCATCGGTATCGTTAGTAAGTTTTAAACGGTTAATTGATTTTCTGCATTTTAATAGGTTCTGATTCTGCTTTTGCAGATGTAATTCTTAATTTAGAAAATAAACATTTTTGTAATATTTTCGAGATCTGTATTGGAGGGACTCACGCGTTTAGTTCACTCACTCGACACATTAACACACTCAAGCTACTTTGTTTCCTCATTTCTTATTATCCAGTCACTCAAGTCACATTCGTTCATCCAAGTCACACAGTGCATCCACTCAGATCACACGATTCTCTTAGTCTTTTATTCTATTATCGACCATCATCACTTTACTCAATTTATACATTCAAATCACACGCATACTTTATATTTATTCAAATCCTTGACACTATTGTTTAATTGTTTATATTCAACATTTAGTGGCCATTTCGTTCACTTCCAGAACAGTTCGGCCCTTCTAAACCAATAGTTTAAAGCGCCTTGTGATAAGGCGCTTGACATGAGAGCGCATTTGAATTAGTTAAGAGCCATCTAGCGGCTACCAGTTTAACAGGGGCGCTGTGCATTCCTTTACATGTTTCACTCTCACTATTCAGCAGATCGCAAATTGATTTAAATCTATGTCAGTTAAAAATAGAAGCTGGCTATTTACAGATGTAAAAGCGTCCTTAGAGAAAGAACGAACAATATCACAAAACTGTCGGCTAAGATATGACGGCCACTGCTGTACACTCGGTACTCTACTGCGCTGGCAGAATAATCACGGGTCTTACAACCTTGTGATATTGGTTCGGGTAACAGTATCTTAGTCATTTCTGTAAACGTATTAGTGGCATCTGTCCCACAATCGTAGATCTTCAGGGTAACACAAAGTAACGCCTTGTCATACGATCTGAAAATGAATGTTTTAAATATTACATTTGAATACAGTTTTAATGATAAGTTTAATCATAATTGCAAAGACTAACGAACAAGTCATAATTTATATATTCCTGAGATGGCTTTTTGTGAATGGGCCTGATGATCTTGATGATGTTCCAGAAGACAGTTTCTTAACCATTTCATTAATGACTGTCCATAAACAATTTACATACAGAGTAGTCCAGAAACGGTTCCCAGTGCAGTGTATGAAATTTTTATCCAATTTTTTTAATGCAAAAGAGGTAATTTTCCCAGGGTGTATTAATACTTGAATACTTACTGACACATCGCTTTTAGTGATGTGTTGCCGTATGTCGCTCGATCGACAAACTCCTTCATCTCTGTTTGAAACGTATGCAGACAATTGCCCATTTCTTCTCCATGTGTATTGTAGCAGGATGAGTGCCTTCTATATTCTGTTGAAATATATATATGTATAATTGAATAAAGTAGAATGTGTATATCATGCTTGTCAATCTTGACATTAAATTGGTCAACGGATTTTGTAGGCTACCCTAAGAACTCATTTTATGGATAATGCGTCTTTATTAAATTGCCCAACAAGAGTAAAGCTAATTAAAAACAACAATCCAACTGAAAAAGACTATCTCGGTTGATTCACAATGGTTCAATTGAAAATGGAAAATTAATAGAAATTCTGACTTACGAGCTTGAAACCCTTCATCATCACAGATTCTGCCGATTGTTCGCTTTAAATCACTAATGGCTCGTAAAGGAGTCTTGCTAATTTCCGGCGAGCACCCTTCTACTGTTCTTTTGATGCATTGTACTGTTGCCTTATAATCACTGGAATTAAGAAAAATATAAATAATTTTAGAGGTTTCAAATAAGATTTAAATAATACTGTATTATATGTTATGTTTATTTTTAGAGGTTATTATGTATTTTTTAAAATTAATGCGCGAGGCTAAGATGGTTGTGTCATTTTTCACGGGAAGTGTTTTTGATGTAAATGGGTAAAATAAATGTGAACTTGAAAACGGCAATTAAGATGGCCCGACGCTGGTTAAGGTTACGAAAAAGTTATTTAATTGAGGTTTTTAATTTTCATGATTTCAATGTTGTATACATGAACAAGTGTGGATAATCCGCAAATACAATCATGCGATGACGTAATCGTCCAAGTCACATTTTCATTGTTCCTTTAATGCTTACTAAATCTTATTAAAATTTATTAGATTCTATCACAGTCATATTGCTCTTTATAACTTTAGTAAACATAGAAAACGAGCCCAACAGAAGTTAATAGAACAACTGCTTCGATTTTGACTAGGAACTCAAAATAGATGGCAACCTCCGGTAAAAAAAAGTTGAAATTCTAGCTGAAAATGTTATGGTTAAATGTGTTTTTTTATCATTTGTTTTGACAATCAAGATAACACGATGATGAGTTGTCTTACGAAAGAGTAGATCTACTTCAGATTTTTACCAGTACTCTAGAGAGTATAAGAGGCGAGATCCTTTCACATATAAATCGGGTAAATAGTATCAGAATTCAATAAAGAAATACAGTCCCGTTCAACTAGAAATTCTCTCTAAAGTAATAATAAAAATGCGCACGGAATCAAAAGAGAACAGGATCCACTCTGTCGTAATTATGAAAAAATAATTCGTCTGATAGAAAAGATAAAATATATTTGTGCACTTTATTCAATCACCTTATGTCTACAAGTAACTCTAAAACGATCTCCTTTTTAAAAAAATTGACTTCAAGGTAATTTTGTGTTTTCCAAATTAAGTGAATCTGTAGTTATCAAACTTTTTTGTGAGTTTTCTTCACCTCTCTTATCTTGCCCAATGAGATCTAGTATTTACTAATAAATGATTTTCCTTACTTGCATTGTTCATCCCATTGTTGAGAAGTTAGACCCCCAAGATCCACCAATTCTAAGTCACTGTCCTTGATAAATGTAAGGCAGCCTTGAATACCTGTGAGTGCATTGCGTTCATTGCACGCCGAGGATAGCACACCATCTGAAATTATAAGAAATGGAAACGTTTCAAGGTCACCCTATACCACCGACAATGGGGTAAGGTCCCGCCCCACTGGCACACACCACGTCGAGTCCACATGACCCCATGAAATCGGTCTGTAGATTCCACCATGGTCCATTGATGTTCGTTGGGCTTTAGACCGATTCATGGGTATCGTTTTTTTGCTTAAATATTCTTAAATGAATTAAAAAGCACATCGAACATACCATGACCTAAGTTTTAGAGTAAAATCAAACGTCCTTGAACTTTATGATACAAAATCTACAAGGTTCGAATGCAATTTGTCAAATCAAATACATTCCATCATACACGCCTGAGATTACTGCAGGTTTATGTACTTACTGTAGCCTTATATTTTATATTATCACACCTTACTTTTGTATTCTTGATTAAATGTATATGTAAATATGTTTTGATTTTGAAAATAATAATAAAAAAATAAAAAAAAAAAAAAAATAAAAAAAATACACGCCTGTTCATTACAATCAGTTGAAACCGTAGGGTCAAACAAACTATTATTCCCACATCAATCTTTCGGTTAGATTCTGTTGGCATTTGAATGTTGCAGTGATTTCCTTTCAAAATAGTCTTAGAATGTATATTTCGAATACTCTAGTTGTGTAATAAAAGTCGAAACTCTGACTAAAAGTTGTAGAACTGTTTCCTGGCTCATGCCAAAAGTTACAGAAGTTGTTGTCAGTTTATTGATTTATATGGGCCAACTCGCAGTTTTACGAGGTTTAAGCGCCATTTGTAAGTTTCACTTTTACTCAAAACAAGGTAAACTAGCCCATCTGGCTAAATTGCTATTTAAAAACTGTCTGAGAGTTATACCAGCTTTAATGGTTTGTATGATTTATAGGAGGTATGTTTTGTTATGTTTTTCAAATAGTGTTGCATACCAAAAACAGGGATCATTTCTATTGCAACGTCTGGTCATTAATCCTCAACGAATTCTCATTACGACTGAAATATGTTTATATAAAAAATCCTCAAGCTGGAACTACCTAAAACCCGCAGATGTCAAAACAATCAAGAGAGACAAAATGCAAACTTGATGAGGTGAATTTGTTTTCGTTTCACAGTTGTTGATTTTGTAGCAAATTATTTTCAGATTTCAAGAAATATCGAATGGAACAGTATAGCCTTACGTCTACCTTTCCTAAAACATGTCTTCGTGACTTCACTAAATAAAACATCCATGATATCGTGCTTATTTCATAAATCTAAAATCTAATGACAAATTCATACGTCTTTAATTACGAGAATATATATACTAAATTACCTGATGCACCTATTACAAAGTAGAATATAATCTTGTTCTGAGGAATAAAATACGAAGTATACAAGTGAATTCGTGACAATACGTGCGTATCCACTAATGAAAGTAATCATAGAAGATAACGACATTTATCATGAGATAATAATTACTGTATAGGAACGATATTAATAGATACCTGATTTTATCGTTTCTGAAAAATACATTAAGATTTTTCACGCTTAGCTGACTGGAATGTACATAGCGTAATGAATGAGGATCATATTGTCAAATTGGCTTATGGTAATCATAAGTTTACTCTAAGTTATCATGCTTGATATGTCATTAATGTGACGTCAATTTGAAATTTTGACGCGTAACATGATTCAAAGTGAAACCTCAATTATTGCTAGAAAGCACAATATGTAACATTCCAATAACACACGACAATCTACAAGAATCATTACACTGAACGATAAAATCAAAATCAAAACCAGATCATACGCATCGCTACAATAATTATTCATCTACTCTTAGAGACAAATATTTTTCCAATTATCTATACAAATATTAAGTTGGCAGAAAATCTAGAAACTACACTTTCAACCTATAGGTAGCCTATAACAATTATTTGCCACTAAAACTGCGATTAAAGACCGAGACAGCTACACTTTAGATTATTACTCATAATCTTTGAATTTATAAATCATCCCAAAAGGGGTAATGTTGAGAGTTGTGTATATATAGCAGAACAAAATGATGAGAGATTTGAAAAGTAGTACAAAAAGGAACAGCAACTAACGCTTGTTTTATGGGCAACTCATTGAATATGAATACTACCTGCCATTATTCCATAAAATAGTAAGATAATCCGGTAGCCGCTAGCCGTTAGTTGCATTCACAAATACAAGCTAAATTCATCCTTTAGATAACTCTTTCTACTCTTCATACCTAATCATGATATTAGTTTAATCTCCTGTATCCTGATAAGTATCTTAATGCTTCCCTTTTTGGAGACAATGGGACATAATAGTATTGATGGCCTAATTATTCAATGTGGCATGGCATGGCGTGACAATACGACCATAGCGTTCACCAAATCAACCAAGCCAATCAAGCCCAAAACAATATTCACCTCGCTTCGCAATTGTAGAACGAAGTGAATTTCGTGGGTCCATTTGTGACAAATACATAATCAAACTGGAATGTCCTTACACTAATGTTATTTGATGTTGCAATAGATCTAAAATCAGTCATTGCAGCAAAATTATGAACAAGATGTGTTATCAGGTGATACCAAACATACGCGAGGGACATTATATGCCACATCTATCCTAATTAACCTGACACGGATCACAGGACGAAAATGTCATTTTCCTAATCCTATTGCCAAGCCAGGGGTTCAATTGATTGACTTCACACTAGCAATGGTTCTCAATGTAAGCTGTTCGAAATGCAAATGTAATTTGTGAAATGAGGATGCTAATTTGGCATCTGTGTATGACGTTTTGTGGAGGTTAAATATAATCAACTGGTCCTTTTCACAGTAATTTACTCAGTTAGTAAACGATTCTATTCGATTTGTTAAGTCTGTCTTGGACTTACTTTTTGTCAGGCAATAAAAGGAAATTATTACCCATACATGACCAATCTCTCATCAATATATCAATACAGATGCATCCTGAGGAATGTAGATGAGAATAGATTGTACATGACAATACTTTTATGAATTCAAATTTCTTAGTGGATTATCTTGTTTAACATGCGATACAGCCTAGCTCATCATCGCGATTTCTTGTCTTACCCTTTAGTTGCATAGCAAGATTGACAGAACAATTTGTCTTAACAAAAGACGTGTCAAAAACAATCAATATACGTGAGAAAAACGAACATGAATTTAGAGCGAATAGTTATGTATCACCTAAAGGGGTGGAAATTATATACGAGGTGGGAAGTTCACGGATATATGTATCAACGCTGAACATGCCAAGAAAATTGTATCACCCCAATGCACATATTTCATTACATAGTAACCGGGAGAAATACAATAATATTTTCTTGAGAGATGAGTTTTGTATGTTAACATTTTTATTCCAGTTTTAATCTTCAAATATTTAAATTTTCCGCCACTTTAGAAGAAACAAAAGTTTAGTTTTTTAGATAATCAAATACACCGTAAACACGGTTGTTGTTTTTTCTTGTACAAATATTTTTTAAATATGTCGAATTCTCAGAATGAAGAAATACTGTTACCCTGTCTAATTTGAAATAAGTTTTCATCATGTTTTAAGTAGTTATGTATCATTTTTCAAGGAGGAATACCATTTTAAAATGTGTTTTTTTCTGAACAACTAATTTACCAACCATTCTACTTAGAATAGGTTAAATGATGTATGTTATGCCTTGTGTATGTGTGTGACAACTAAAATTTTATTTGTTATAAATTCACTATTTTTTTTAACAAAAAGTCTTTCAAAATCAACTTTTTGATATTAAATTTTCAGTTTTATATAAACGTTTCAAATAAGAAATGGGGTAAGACAATACTATAAGCCAAAGTGGTTTAAACTTTATGGGGCCTTTAAAAATAGGTAGTCATGCATGAAATCCATTAACACTAACTTAATTTCTGAAAAACAGATTTTGGTATTAAATGAGAAAAAACTATAGTCTAAGTAACGTTTTACATGGACCTCCCCTTTTTTAGAAAAGTAAAGTAAAGTAAGTAAAGGATATTTCTTATATTTTCAATAACTTCATAAAGATAATTTATCAAATATATCAACAGGAATGAAATGATGAAAGGGAAAATTTTTATTCGATTTGAAGAAAATTCTTAGATAGCCACAGCATTCTTTAACGTTAAGATTTAACTCATTAAATATGCATACTATTTACAATTTTAATTTCGTTTCATCAAACCATCACTATCATGAATTGCTACATAAAGTCACAAGAAAACTATAATTTGTCTCTGTCAAAATAAGATATCAATACCCACAACGGTGCAATTGGAAATGAAAAAAAATCAAAGGCACACAATGGTAGGATTTTAAAATATTGATCTCAACACGTTACTGCCACTTAAACATACTTAACTGGCTATAAGAGAGTCCCCAGTGATACCGGTAATTATTTTAGTTCTAACATTTTGAATAATAAACTAAGTTTATATACGTAATGTACTTCCTTAATACAAGGAAATGTCCTTAGAGAATTAGCAGGAGTTAACTACTACACATACTTGAACAAGGGGCGAATTTAAAGTGAGATGCAGACAAAACAACACATTCTCAGAAGCACTCATTACTTTATTTACCCTTTGCATTCGTTTGACTTCACTTCTTAAAAGAGAGCTTCATCTGTAGTTTAACTAGACTCTGCACGCAGGGTATACTTTATTCGGAATAGAACAGGCTCTAGCAGAACTTGATTAATTGACTTTTCTCTCAATTTGCACATCACTTGACGAATTATCACATTTGTAATTATGTTACCATTTGCTTTTTGCAATTTTTGGAATGACGAATACGGATAGAGGTTAATAATTAGATTTCCCTAAAAAAATATGGCCATTTGAGCCATCCCAGTTATAATTAGCTAGTCACATTGGGATAGAAAATTTACCAGACCTCGTGGAATGAATTAATAATCGAAAAAAAGAATTAATCATATGTGGCCAGGAATATTGAACTGGAATATTTTCGTATGCAGTCAGTCC